TATTGTCTTCATCTTTGTCGCCATATTCATCACAACGTTTCGGCCGTTGTACGCTTCAGCCTCATTCAGGTGGTTGGAATGTCGAACTGAACCCTTCATTTCGCTCACTGGAGTAGACTGTTCCAGTTACACGTGCCATATCTAATATATATCAGTTATCTCCTGTTAATTCCCCTCTCCAAGTTCTCATTGACGACCCTAAAGGGTGTAAGTTTAATACCTTGTTAAGGCGGTGGAGAACTTTGAGTGGGGAATTAACAGGAGCTAATTGATAACTGACATCTATTAAACATGGCACGTGGAACTAAACGTGTTAATAGTTAGTAGTATGGCTATAAATATATTTTAATGATATTTTCTCTTTAAAGGGTTATGTTCTTTTTCGCTCGACATATGCTTTACAGAAAAAATCAAACCACAAAAAAATTTTCCAATAGCGTCTCACTAATTTTTACACATTTTAGCACCCAGAATGTATTCTTACACATATTTGAATATTATCTGTGACGTCATTACACGTGACACGTATCTAACCAATAAGAAATAACCAAACACACCATACAACTAATCTGCGTTTCTTCGCTTTATATCATTTCTATCTTGATCTCTGACGAAGCTTTAATTAAGTGCTATATGCTATGTTAAGATTATATATATATATATATATATATATATATATATATATATATACACACACACGTGTAAGAAACTGGCAGTTCAATCCCACCTAAGTAAAATAACCAGACGGCTGGATAACAAATTTTAATATACAGTGTAACCCGGATATAAGAAAGTTGTCGGGACCGGAGAAGAAGTCTCTTATATCCGGGTTTCTCTTATATCCGGGTTTGGTCTAATTTATATACATTAACACAGGCTCTAATTTGGGACCAGAGAAAATCTCTCTTATATCCAGGTTTCTCTTATATCCGGGTTACACTGTATAAAATATAATGGTCTGCCATATAGTTTTGGCATGTGACTTTTATATACTACTTCGTCATTTTTTGTGTTATGTACAGGGTGATGCAAATGTCGTGCACCTAAGGGATTAATTGATTATGTTTTAAATATCTAATTTGTTTTGATATTTTCTTATTTTGCTGAAACAATAGGTTACCAGACCCCACTCCTTTAATTCAATTGTTTATCAGACGCGCCCATTTTGAACAGCACATATAACAATTAATTCACTAGTAAATACAATTGTCATGTGTAATTATACTTTTTGTTTTGTTCGTTTTGTTTTGTTCTACGGTATATCATTCTCAATGGGTCACTTAATACCGACAACTTTTTTTTTTTTACCTGGTAATATTTTTGTTTTGTCAAAAATCTATTTCTGGTAATATTTTTTTTTCTTCAAAATTGTATAGCTGGTAATATTATTTCCAAAAACGTATTGCTAGCAATATTTTTTTTCAATAATGTATTGCCTCCGGTAATTTTTTTTTTTCAAAAATGTATTGCTGGTAATAGTTTTTTTTCTTCAAAAATTTATTTCTGGTAATAATTTTTTACAAAGTATCTTTGGTATTATAAACTATTTTTACCTTTTATAATGCTTTTTACCTCAGTTTCGGGGTTAAGTATTTGCCAATAGCTGGGTCAGGGGTGGACATGGGAATACCAGCAATTAAAAGGTGGTTCCACGCTCCTCAAAATCTCCTCATCAGAGGCCCTGCTGTTGGACGTAGTTTACCGTCATTCCCAGAACGCAATTATAGTTTTAATAAATTATCCCTTTGGTGCGCGAATTTTGCCGCATATATATATATATATATATATATATATATATATATATATATATATATATATATGTGTGTGTGTGTATAGATATTTCTTATTTAGTTGCTATTAATGAAACGGAGTAAATGGGCAATTTTTAAAATAACTGTTTTGGGTTTTTTTTATTTATTGTTGTTCTTTCCGAGGGAAAGTGCATTCCTTTTGAAAAACGTGAAAAAAAAATGTGTAAGGACGGAAATGGGTAAATAAATAAAAAGGTTATTTTTTTTATGTGCATTAAAACTCTTTTTAAAAAAATATTTAAACATCGAGCACTCTTATATACGTAAGAAGAGGGATATTTAAGTTGTGTGTGTGTGTTTCACTTTATTACTTTGTTAGAACCAAAACTTCAATTTGCCAAGTGAAGACGACGATTAAAAGAAAAAAAGATTTACAATTACGACATATACTTAAGTGGAAGCGAACCTACCGGCTAGAAATACATAAGCCAACACAACAAAACTCAGAATATTCGCTTGAATAATTCATTGAAAAGAACTTAAAATTCTTTTTCGAATTCCAGCCATTACATATATGTATATTACTATGCGGCATGCGCTAAATTAATATTTACTTGTTCATTTGTCTCGTTAGGAGGAGCCTATATCGGTTGAGTATTAAGCCCGAGTTTTTACTGCTGACTCGCAAAGAGAAAATAAAACTCCAGATTTCGGACAAAATCAATTATTTTTTGGCAAATAGTCTCGTACAGATATTTCAGATATCATCGCTTTTCACGTCCGAAATAGATATAGCATTCCATACGGAATTACTTCCCCTAGATTTCTTTACCTAGCCTCATAATCTGATAATATTTTTTTCTCTCTATCTCTCTCAGATGAGATATTATGATTACTTGCATTATTTACATTGTTCGGACTGTTATTATCATCATTTGAGATCATAGACAAAGAACATCATAGGAAAATTCGTAAACTTAAGGAATCAGCACATATTCTAGGCCACAAAAATCTCCTGAGCCGACCAAGCATAGAAATGAATACAATATGGGAACCAGTAATAAGGAGTGCCAGAGAAAATTGGTAATAACAAAAATTGCAATATGAGCTCTGGTAAAAAAACATGCAATGATAACAGCAAAAAGTGCAATATGAGCACTGGTAAAAAATGATTGAAGACATTAGGTTTATAATACCCAGAAATTCATACATAGATGTCTTCAATGACAGCGGATAAATGCGTTAGTTAGATCCAGTGACAGGATCCAAATTGAGTGAGTTAAATGGTTAAGGTGGTGGAGAAGGGAATTAACAGGAGATAACTGACATCCATTAGATATGGCACCTGGAACTAGAACATTCTACCTCAGTGAGCGAAATAAAGGGTTCAGTTCGGCATTCCAACTACTTGAAGAAGGCCGGAGCGTACAACGGCCGAAACGTTGTGACATGGCGACAAAGATGAGGACAATAGTCTGAATAATGTAAATAGTGTACATAATACCTCATCTCAGAAATATAGACAGATACCGGACATTTTATTTCGTCCACCGGAGTAGAGTGTTCTAGTTCCACAGTGGTGAACGAAAACTTGGAGAGATGAGTTAAACAAAAATAAATTAGACATCCAGAAGAGGCGTGGCACGTGGAACTGGAACAATCTACCCCCGGTGGATGAAAAAAGGATTCAGTTCGAAATTCCAATCACCCGAAGAAGGCCGGAGCGTACAACAGCCGAAACGTTGTGAATATGCCAATGAAGATGTATTGATAATGATCGATTGGAGAATCAGTAAGATCGATTTTGTGTGTGTGTAGCAATTTCGTTCTAACACGGAAAATTTTTAAACACGTTTCTAACACATGTAAATAATGCAAGGAAATATAATTTAATACTTGTAAATGTAGCAAATAATAAACGATCTTTAACATAGGATCAAGATTAGTGTTCGAATTCTCATAACACGCAGATAATCTCGCGGATTTTTTTAGCGGAATATATGAATTTCTGAAAATATATTTGAGGCCAAAAAGCTCACAAAAGCAACTAAAATCTAATTTCCTTTTAAGCATCTACGCATACATTATGTCGTTGAACTAACCGTTGACTACTGTCACTCTCAATATGAGTCTAGGTAAACGGATCGATTATAAATGATTTCGCATTTGGAACGCAAAATTTGAAAATGTAAGATGTTTTACACTTGGGAAATCCATCAACCATAATAATGTATTCAAAATAAACAAAAAACAAAAACAAGATGGGGATATTAGACTGAATAAATCAATAAACAAGAAATTAAAATCTTTCGTGAATAGTGATTCTGTAAATAGTTCCTCCTCTCCAAAGGATGTGATACTCCATGCAATTTATCACCGTTACCAAACAGAAAAAAAATAATATGATTATACCATTCAATTCTATCCTTTCTGTATGACAATAGATAGGAAAAGAGAAAAAAATATATAAATAAACAAAGCGAGTATAAACGGGTAAGCTTCTGACGTTTGTTATTTAAAAAAAAAAAAAATCACAGTTCTTATCCTGATGTCCCACCCACTGCGACCGTGTTCAGTGCTTTGTTCACACGGTTCCTTTTGGACTATAGAAGAAACCAAGTGAAATTCGTCGAGACTAGCCAACGACTTTTTGCAAGATATGCAATCCTTCTTTACTGTTAAAAAAAAAAATAGAGAAAATGAGCATGTGAGAGAAAAAACAAACAAACTTAATAATGTCTTTCTGTGTTAGAACGAAATTGCTACACACACAAAAAAATCGATCTTACTGATTCCCAAATCGATCATTATCAATACATCTAGCTAGGTACCCCCTCAAGTAACTAACCGGGAAGCAAGTATAATTTACTTCCGACGAAAATAAAACACAAAATAAGTAAAGATTTGGAAAGTTCTTCATCGCCGAAATGAAATAAGTGGACTGCTATTTTTTTATTTTTTTGTTAATGCATTTTTAATACTACTTGATTCATCAAACTTTTTTGTTCACCGCGATAGGAAAAATGATAATAAATCGAGAAATGGAAAATAATATTTTATTTGAAATATTTTTTAATGAAAATTCTCGTTGCAAATCTGCCATCGAATTGAATATGTGTCATTCAAAATTGACAGGCTAGTCTCTGTGGTGGCCTGGAATTTTGTTTTCATTCTCATCCTGCGAAAGTATTTGTGTATTTGATTAATGGAGGGAATACAGGTTTGGTAATTCTGTTCTGAAGTCGTTCTTTAAACGGAACAAAAAAAATGAAGGTGGATATCAGAATGAAGGTAAAATGAGAGAAAATCTATGTAGCATAAAATGAAGAGGGAGCGACAAAAACAAAATGAAGGAGAGGATAAACAGAAAGGAAGTAAAAGAAGAATTTGGATGAAGATGATAAGAGAGGGAAGGCAAAATGAGGGTGGGGGGAAATAAGGAGGATAAAATAGCGAGAAGACGATAACGACGAAGAAGGAGAAGAAAACGAAAGAGGAGAAGGAGAGGATGGGGAGGAGAAAACGACGAAGAGGGAGAAGTAGAAGACGACTGAGGAGGAGTAGAAGGAGAATAGACCAAGACATCAAAGAAGAATACGAAGAAAAAGACGACGATGACGAAAGACAAAGACGAAAAAAGAAAAGGAAACGACTACGAAGAAGATGAGAACGAAGAAAAATAAGATGACGGAGGAGGAGGAGGAAGACGACGACAAACGACGAGGAAACGACGACGAGGAGGAGGAGAAGACGACGACAAACGACGAGGAGGAGGAGAAGACGACGACAAACGACGAGGAGGAGGAGGAGACGACGACAAACGACGAGGAAGGAGAAGACGACGACAAACGACGAGGAGGAGGAGGAGACGACGACGACGAACGACGAGGAGGAGGAGAAGACGACGACAAACGACGAGGAGGAGGAGGAGAAGACGACGACAAACGACGAGGAGGAGGAGGAGGAGAAGACGACGACAAACGACGAAGGAGGAGGAGAAGACGACGACAAACGACGAGGAGGAGGAGGAGACGACGACAAACGACGAGGAGGAGGAGGAGAAGACGACGACAAACGACGAGGAGGAGGAGGAGAAGACGACGACAAACGACGAGGAGGAGGAGGAGAAGACGACGACAAACGACGAGGAGGAGGAGGAGACGACGACAACAAACGACGAGGAGGAGGAGAAGACGACGACAAACGACGAGGAGGAGGAGGAGAAGACGACAAACGACGAGGAGGAGACGACAAACGACGAGGAGGAGGAGGGAGACGACGACAAACGACGAGGAGGAGGAGGAAGACGACGACAAACGACGAGGAGGAGGAGGAGAAGACGACGACAAACGACGAGGAGGAGGAGGAGAAGACGACGACAAAACGAGGAGGAGGAGGAGAAGACGACGACAAACGACGAGGAGGAGGAGGAGAAGACGACGACAAACGAGGAGGAGGAGGAGAAGACGACGACAAACGAGGAGGAGGAGGAGAAGACGACGACAAACGAGGAGGAGGAGGAGACGACGAAACGACAAACGACGGACGGGAGGAGGAGAAGACGACGACAAACGAGGAGGAGGAGGAGAAGACGACGACAAACGAGGAGGAGGAGGAGAAGACGACGACAAACGAGGAGGAGGAGAAGACGACGACAAAGGAGGAGAAGGAGAAGACGACGACAAAGGAGGAGAAGGAGAAGACGACGACAAAGGAGGAGAAGACGACGACAATGGAGGAGGAGGAGACGGAGAAGGAGGAGAAGACGACAAAGGAGGAGGAGAAGGAGAAACGACGAAGGAGTAGGAGAAGAAGAATAAGTTGATGAAGAAGGAGATGGAGACGACGAAGAAAGAAAAGACGAAGGAAAAGAAAACGACGAAGACGAAAAAGGAGCAAAAGGAGAAGACGAAGGAGACATCGACGAGGAAGGACGAAAGGGATGATAAAACTCAAACGAAGTAAAGAAGAAATCGAATGAAGATAACATGATGGGGGAAAAAAAAATCTGCGAATCATAAAATGAAATAAAGTAAAATACAAAGTCGGGTGAAGGATATGAAAAATTGCAAACAAAGAAGAAAAACGTTGAATGAATATCGATACAGGAAGAAAGAAAAATAAAAATCATAATAATGAAATGAAAGAAGAAAAAAAACAAGAAGTCAAAGGAGAAAGAAGAAAAACAAGAACGAAGAAAAAAAAATCATGATGATAACGAAGGAGTATAAAATGAAAGAAAAACGTAGAAGAAAAAAAATCGCAGACAAAGATGAATTAGAAATAGAGAGAAGAAAGAAGTTTATCAATATTTTTCGTTCGTCTATCTTAACATCAATATTCGAAAGTGGGGGCACCTTTAGATATTTTCACATATGTTTCAGCAATATTCTTAAACGCAGGGCCGAAAAGCGGGGAATACGATTATGTTGCAGCAATCTTCTAAATGTAAGTGTTTGTCTGCTTTGAAAATCCGCATTCAAAATTCTTGCATTTTACCTGGACTCGAACATCAACCACTGATGCAAGAGGGAAATACGCTACAATTACAAGCATTTAGAAAACTATTCTTTCGGTTCTGCTGTAACCTATTAAATATTACTGAATGATGAACAACCAAAACGAAGGTTGGAAATGAAATGGTAATCTTTATAACATCAACAGAATACATTACTCGCCAGCGACGTGAAATAGGTAACCCACTGCTAGTGGTGCACTACTTAGGCAGCATATTACGATATTTACTTGCCTCCCCACGAGCTGGGATGTGGCACAAGGCCAAATTTAAAGTGAGGAAATCCGGGCCCGTGGGCTCGCACAAAAATTGCCAGTAGACCCCGCATACGCGGGATCGAGTATCTGTTTACCTCCCCGGACGAGACTTTACCCTTCGGTAGAGCTTCGTCCGGGTTCCTCTCCTCCCAAAAGCAGAGAGTTCGACACGGCAAGAACTTCCCACGCTTACACTGTAGACAGCATATTGCCCCCACTTACAATAGTGTAGTGTCCACCGTATTTATGAGGATTGAGACATAACTATTAGTGTTCATAGGTACGGTATATAACAGGTTCTTGGACTCCTGAGCACTGATAGTATTTGAAATTGTTGGACATATCCTTCGAATGCCAGAGGTCGGTTTTTGAGACCCTACAAAAGCTAGCATTATGAATTATGATTTTCTAGACAGATTTAAGTTACAATTCAGCTGCTGTGGACCTATTTCTACGTCTTTACAAAGTTTATATTGCTTGTTGTCGGTGCATATATAAATTTTCAAGACACCGCGAAATATCGGTCCCTCGTGCTTCTGTCATAAGTTAACAAGCGCTTAACGCTGTTTCCAAATCAGCGTAGACATAGAGTATCATACAACAGGATCTGTTTGCAGATGTAATTTATATCGTGCGTTGAGGGAGGCGTTTAGTTTTGTTTGTTCGGCAGAGTAGTATCCGATCGAAGCCAAAATGGCGGCACCCATGAGAAATCGCTGCCAGCGTCTTTATAGTCATTTATTTCCATTAAATGCTAATTTTCTATTTTCCCCCCAAAAAGGGCCAGTACAACCATGAAATAATGCGATAACAATGCGTTAGTAAAAGTGTTAATTCAATCTTTGTAAACCTAACAACATAACAGACTGCTGCTTGTTTTGTCTGGTTTCTTTTAAATGGAATAAGTATTTTTTTTTTAAATTGCTGTATATTTTAGGCTTTAAAAATATGTTTGGTATTTTTAATCGTGAAACAAAATTACTGATCGTGCCAAGAAGTTATTTTTTCTGCTTTTCATTAAAACAGCCTCTAATCCGATTGTATCAATCTTTCTTTTGTTTGAATGAGATAAAAAAAAATTACAAAGACCCAAATACACAAAGACTGAATTAAATTATTTCATACATAAAATCAAAGAGGTTGTGGTAGATAAAAAAAGGCTCTTACTTACAATAAGCAATACGGAAATTCCAAAATAAATTTATGATTGAACAAATAAAGGAAAAGGAAACACAAAGAAAGGATTTTGAATTTGAAGGTCGTTCCAAATTCCAAGATGGCAACCGGTTTATATTTATAACTCACTCATATATACTAGCTGAAATACCCGTCTACATTAAATAAAAAAATGAGGATTTAGACGGTAACGGAGAATAATAACAATAAAGCAATTCTTTAGTAAAGTATCCCAATAAAGTCTAATAATTAAGCAAAACAGGTTACAGCTACACAGTGGTCCTAAAGTATTGTCACCAATAAATAATATAATTTTTTATTTCAGACAGCTGACACGAAAATGATGTTCATACAGACCTTCTAGATGTGTGACAGTGTCATTAATAGTAAATAAAGGGAATCCAGTACATGTGCTTGTATTTCCGTGTTACTTGTTCTATTGTTCTCATTACTTTTTTTTTTTTTGGTAGGACAACACTATTTAACAAAGTAGCGTCTTTGGCTGAATTTCTGTGATGAGGAACATTTGAAATCTACCATAGAAGAACACAATCCGTCCACAACGTCAGTCCCACAAGACTAAAATGAAACTCCTTGGAAATGGCTTATGAATCCTGAAAGCTCCCAGAAAAATTGGTCAGCTGATGTTCATTTTTTTACCATGAAAACAGCACAAACATGGCTTAAACTAGAAAACAACACCATTATTGTATCCCATGATTTAACGAATACCTGTGGAATGTTTATTTCAAATGTCACGCTGATTTTACGAGCTGGAAAATGTCCACAGGCAAAATGATTCTAGATGGCACTTGTATTTGGTACGAAAGAGTATAATTTCCATGCCGCCTTCTTCTCATTCCCTTTTTAGATTTTGAGTGTTCATATGCGCGCGGATGAATACTTTCGGTGGCTCTTTTTTTCTGATTTGTTTTTGGATTTTTTTTTTTTTTGTTCATGGCCTTTCAATATTTTGTTTATCTTTTTCGTTCTTACTACACTTTATTGACTCTCTCTTTCCGCCTCCTATTTTTACTCTTATCCTTTTCTCTCTTTTCTCGACGTTATGTTTTCCATTTTCCTCTCACTAATTTTTTTCTCTTTTAACTCCTCCTATTTTTCTCATATAATCCCTTTCACTCTTTTCTCGACGTTCTTATGTTTTCCTTTTTCGTCTCCTTTCACTCTTTTCTTTCTCTTTCCTCCTCTAATTTTTTTTCTCTTATTATCCCTTTCTCTCTCTTCTCGACGTTCTTGTTTTCCTTTTCCCTCTCACTCTTTTGTTCCTATTTTCCATTCTTACTATTCTTTATTTTCTCTTTTTTCTATTTTCTCTCTTTTCACGACGTTCTTATCTTTGTTTTTTTCTTTTTTCTTATCACTTCACTCTTTTGTCTATATTTTTTATTCAGACAATTCTTCATTTTCGCTTTCCCTCTTTTCTCCTTCAATTATTTTCTAATATCTTTTTCCTTCTTCTTGATTTCCTTTTATTTTATTATCTTTTTCATTATTATTCATTTTCTCTTGCTATCTGTCTCTTTCTTTACTCGAAATTCTTATACTATATTTTTCATTTTTTCTCCCCATTTTCTTCATATTTTTCATTCTTAACAGCCAACATTTTATATTTCTCCTTCTTCCATTTTCTCTTATTTTTTTCTCTCGTTGTCTTTTTTTTCTATCAAAGTTATTACATCCGGAATTGCTTCATATTTTTTGAGAACAGCTTGAAAATAAAATGTCGAACGTAATTTCTTATTTAATATCTATTTTTTTTTTATTATTATTTTTCATTATAATTCCAATCCTTTCTCATTTCACATTTTTTATTCCCCCATGTGAAATATCATCAAAACCTCTAATCTGTCAATACCTTTCCACTTTAGGAGAGTTTATCTTCCGCACAGCTTGCAATGTCCGGTAAATTAGTCCGTCAACAACAACAATGCGCCGATATTTACAGCAATTTTCAAAGCAATTTATCCGTGAGTCAGTCTGTAACTCGCTATGCTTGAAAAATATTTTACTTTCGTAATTCGTCTTCTCCACTCCACATTCCGTTTTTTGCATTTATACTTTGTGTTCGTGGATCCGCTTCGTTTTGCCTTTATTACTTTTCGTTCTTGTTTTTCAGGTAAAATCAGAACAATGGTTCGGTCTCTTGATATGAAGAAACCTAGGAATTTTCTTCAGTAATGTTTCGTATTCTTCTTTCTCATGTTGACATTTTGTTTTCATGTCACTTTCTTTCATTTCTTCTTCTTACTCGACATTTTTTTATTGTTTTATTTCGGGTTTTCTTTTGTCTTTTCGTTTTCACCTACACTTTCTCCTTCCCAATTCATTTTTTTCATCTTCGATTATTTTATTGCTACTAAATTCCGCAATGAATTATTTTGCATTAATACACATTAATTATTAATTTTCATAGGTTTTCTTATCGTTTTATTGTTCCGTTAATATATTTTCACCGGAATACACTTCTTCGTTTATTGAACTAAACTACACCAATTTAAATAAAAGGTCTATGTAGACTGACGGTTAAATCAAGTTGGGTGGAAGTGATGAAGAAAGTTCGATCTTAATGATTTACCAAATATCGATTTCTGTTAAATTACCGTCAGCTAAGTGAATATGCGGCATCTTTCTAGTTACATAGTCACTATTTAAACGCAAGTTCAGCGTTTGAGCCCAGATATAATCCACAATTAGGAAGCATACACTACTTCCTATTTTTTAAATATATATTTTGGGTATATAGTCTAGCCGATTTAATTTAGTAATTTTTTGCTTTTTATTCATGTTTTCATCGAATATATACCCATAACATTTTTTTAAATTCATTTAAATTAAAAATTGTCAGCTTCAACTCTCCTTTGTGCGCATGCGTTGTCGCATCAACGTGAACATTACATGAAAACTTTTCCACCTTGTTAAATTTTTTCCCTAAAATTGTTCTTGATATATATAAAAATTCCCATATCTCCACATGGAAGTATTGAAAAAGTCTTGTTTTAACCAAGAATATCTTGCAGACAAATTCTGATGTTTGGCAATTTCGTTAAATT